TATGCGGTAGGGAGAGGAGGGGAGGGGAGAGGAGCGGAGGGGAGGGGAGGGGAGGGGACTTTGGTTGGAATAAAGGCAGAGCACAAAATAAATGTTTGCTTAATTAAATTGTCTAGGAAGGAACTCAGCGGCCTTCGGCAAATAATCCCAGAGGCATCAAAGGAAACAGTCAGCAGCCCGTGAGTGATGGTGTGTACTTAGCAAATGTTCCAGGCAGACTTGAGTTAAAAGGCTGGGAGGGGAGTTCTAGAGAGCAATAAACAGATACCTCCTGGCCTATGTAGACTCATCTAAGAAAGTTTTGTATGAAATTTAAAATAAATTATTCTCTTTCATAGAGGAGGGAAGTAATGGCGGACAAGTGCCTTCTGTAAGACCCTTGAGCCATACAAGTGGCCAGCCCCTCCCCTCCAGGACCTCTAACTGCCAGGTTCCACCCAAGAATACTCTAACTACCCTAACTGCTGAACCCTTGTCCCATTTTACAGAGTAAAAAAAATCCAGTCTCTGTGCCGCGCCAGCGCGGGCTGGAACCAAGAGTCTCGGCGGAGGGTGTCCAGGTTGAATGAATACACAGAGCACGAGCTTGAGGTGGAACAGCTTCCTCTTTATTGTCTGCTGGGCTGGTTTTATACCATGGCACCAAATGAGGAGGGGGCTGCGAAGGGACTGTAACCTGACCCTAGCAGAGATCAAGGACTGGTCACCATGCACTTAAAATTCCTTCCTTCTCCGCTCCAGGAGCAGAGGGAATTTATTATGTTTTCCTTGCAGATAAGCACCTCAAATGGGGGCAGGGATATCAACTCGGGGGCTGCAGTTCCCACATCTCTGGACATGAAATCCCACCAATCGCCACCCTGGAAAGCATCACCCCGCAAAGTTCCACCCCTTCCCTGGAAACTCCGTATAAGCCCTGTATCCAGTTCAGTTTCCTGCCGTTTCTCACGGGAGCAGAGGCAGCTCACCTCCTGGTTTTATCCCTCCCAATAAGACTCTTGTGTGAGGTTGTTGTGCAGTGTGACTCTGTGGGATTCCTTGGGCTCTCAGCCGCCAGGACACCTTTCCATCGAGCTGTAACTCTGGCAACTTCATTCTGTCCAGGGTCTGGTGAGTGAAAGATTATGAAGCCATGAGGAACATGCTCTTTGAGTCGGAAAAGCTTGGGTTAGTGAATAACGAATGTGACCTGCAGCGAGTGCCTAAATCCCCAAGCCCCTTTTTCTTTATCTGTGAAACAGAAAGTTATACCCATGTTGTAGGTAGCCTCTAGCACGGAACTCATCGGGTTCGGCTTTCCCTTTAGCCTTCTTCATAACACAGGTCACTGAAAAGAAATCCAGAGGTCCAAGGAATGGGGTTCACTGGGTACCAGGGCTCTATGGCGGTGTTCCCTGTTATTGTTATCTAGGTTTTGTTCTTAGCCCCCAATGTCTTAAAAGTTGATACTGTTAGAACTTGCATAGTGGAATGGTTTTCTATGCTAACAAAATACTCCGGAAATTTATGAGCAGTTTGGAAAGAAAGCATGATCCCAGCATTAGGTAAATTCCCATAGCAGGCTCTCCTTTCTCAACCTCTGAGTTCCACTTTCCTGAGACAAGGTCTCTCTGTGTAGACCAGGCTGGCCTGAAACTCATCCTGAGATCCACCTGCCTCTTAAGGGCGTGCACCCCACTGCCCAGTGATTTGTTTATTGTGTAGTGTTTTGCTTGCTTGCATGTATTTCTTGGTGTCCACAGTCAGAAGAGGGGAGTGTGGGTCCCCTGATATTGGAGTTACACATGGTTATAAGTCAATATGTGGGGGCTTGGAAGTGAACCCAATTCTTCTCCAAGAGCAGTGAGTGCTCTCTCTCTCTCTATCTTTTAATTAGATTTTTTAATTGATTTTTATTGAGCTCTCCCTTCCCTTCTTCTCCCCTCCCCTTCAACCCTCTTCCATGGTCCCCAGGCTCCCAATTTACTCAGGAGATCTTGTCTTTTTCTACTTCCCATGTACATTTAATCCATGTATGTCTCTCTTAGGGTCCTCATTGTTGTCTAGATTCTCTGGGATTGTAAAATGTAGGCTGGTTTTCTTTGTTTTATGTCTAAAAGCCACTTATGAGTGAGTACATATGATATTTGTCTTTTTGGGCTCTCTATATATTCTTAATGTTGGAGAAATACAACATATTCCCATCAAAATGCCACCTGCGAATTCTGTGAACTCATTCCCTTTCTAAAATGAAATGAAATAATAAAAAAAAGGGTTAGGATTATTTTCTGAATTATGTTACATTTCACTTACTGAGGAAACACCTTATTGACTTTTTAAAAAAAAATTTGTGGCCGGGCGGTGGTGGCTCACACTTTTAATCCCAGCACTCGGGAGGCAGGGGCAGGTGGATCTCTGTGAGTTCGAGGCCAGCCGGGTCTACAGAGCGAGTTCCAGGACTGGTTAGAGCTGTTACGCAGAGAAACCCTGTCTTTTGTTTTGTTTGTTTGTTTTGTCTTTTTTTAAAATATTTATTTATTATGTATACAATATTCTATCTGTGTGCATGTCTGCAGACCAGAAGAGGGCACCAGACCTCATTACAGATGGTTGTGAGCCACCATGTGGTTGCTGGGAATTGAACTCAGAACCTGGATGAGCAGGCATTGCTCTTAACCACTGAGCCATCTCTCCAGCCCCCATTGTTTTGTCTTTTGAGACAGGGTTTCTCTGTGGCTTTTGGAGCCTCTCCTGGAACTAGCTCTTGTAGTCTTTTCCCCCTGTCTCGAGGGGAAAAAGAATTGTGTAGCACAGGCTAGTCTCGAACTCCTGGCAATCTTCATACCTCAGGAATTCTAAATGCTGGGGTTAGACTTGTGACCTCAAGCCCTATGACTAGATTTGGTCATTCCTCAAGTATGTGACATCTTCCTTAGGACTAATTTCTGTATATAGCTAACATTAACTAACTCAATTTGCATAATTAACGAGCCCGCTGCCATGTCTAGACATTTCATTGTACTAGTGTTAATGACTAGTATCGTTCTTTGGCCACTGGCGCACATTCAATAAACACCAGTGAGGGGCTGGAGAGGTGGCCCAGCAGTCACTGAGAGCACTGCCTAGTCTTCCAGAGGACTTAGCGTCCTTGCTCATCACCCACAAGATGGCTAACAGCAGTCCGCAATTCTAGTTCCAGGAGATTCGAGGCCTTGCCCATCACTAGCACCAAGCACAGACAAAACACCCCCACACATAAAATAAAAATAAATACCCCCCCAAACAAGGATGAAAATGAATATTAGAAGAGCGCTAAGAAGGTAGAAGTGAACTCTATTGTTTTCTTCATAAGTATACCGTCTTCACAGGGTTACCAAGAAAAGGGCAAGGTTTTGCTAGGTAGGGGCTGGAGGAGACACTAAGAAGGAAGAAACAGAGGGTTTCCAAAGAGTTTAAAGGAAAAGTGCTGGGGTAGGGGTGGGGATGGGGACGATGGCTCAAGCCAGAGTCTGCAGACAAAACTATTCATTCGGGCTTGTCGCTGGAATCCTAGGGAGGAAAACGAAGTGGACAAGGGCGGATTGATGTTAAGGAAGTAAATGACAGGATACAGTGTTGTGACAAAGACAAGATCAGGGTCTATCTTGATACCTGAAAGTCTGTGTGTGCAATTCCTGGGGGAGGGCAAAGGAAAGCGGAGTTCACGTTCAAATGCCATAAGATGCTCTTTGAGACAAACGGGCTAAATATCTGGTAAGCGTTGATTGATACAGCCGTCTGAGGTAAACGAGTCTGGATTAGCAGGAAGCTTGTCAGCCTTCTTTCTCAGAGTTAAGAGCTGGGGATAGGATAGTTCTGCTAAACTCGTGAATTTAGATGAGGGGAGAGAACAGGAGCAGGGTAAAGAAAATGGGATTAGAGATCAAAAGAGGGAGACATCTTGAAAACCGGGGGAAACAAGTCTGGTGGCGACAGACGCCCCCTAGAGGTCAGAGAATGGCAATCTCGTGTAATCCTCGGCCAAACGATTCAGAGCAAAGAGTTGGGGACTGGGCGAGCCACAGACAAGGCTAAGGAAGGGGAGGGAGGCAACTTCGTTAGTTCTTTTACGGAGCCTGCCTATGAGGCAGGGAAGGTTAGACTGGAGTAATTTAATGCTTCAGGGGGTAAAAAATCCAATACTTTTGAGGGGAGTGGTTTTCTGTGCTCTTGAAGGGTGATGGTGGTTTCTCTAAACCTTTATAAGTTACCACACTAAAATAAACAGCTCCGCGAAAGCCTTCTGCCTTTAAAAATTCTTTGGTGTAAATAGGGAGCTTTAATGTGGCGCTCATCGATTGGTACATTAAAAAAAAAATCCGTCATTTCCGGTACTGCTGGATGTAAAGCATGGAGCCTACCTTCTGCTCTCCCATTGGCTATTGGAGGTAGCTCTGCTTTCAGCCAATCAAACTACTTTTCCTTCACCCCTCCCGACACATCTTATAAATTACCCCAAATTCCTTCACCTTTCCTTATCCTTTTCTCGAAAAAGCAGCAGTTATTGCTTATTCCGCCATAATGTCAGGCCGCGGTAAGCAAGGAGGCAAGGCCCGCGCCAAGGCCAAGTCGCGGTCGTCCCGCGCCGGGCTGCAGTTCCCGGNCCCCCGTCGTCCCGAGACACGTCCCCCTTGTAGACTTTGCCGGGGGATCGGGCGACAGCGGGGCTAGTTGTGCTTTGCGTCTGCCCTGGGCTCGACGTCGGGGTTGAGTCCCAAGCCTGGGGAAGGGGCAGGAAGCGTTCAGGACACTGGGGCGGGAAGCAGCGCGCGGGATAAGAGTTTCTCAGGGTGGATGTGTAGGACCGACATATGGCGCCAAGTGCTTAGGACAGTGCGGGGTCCGCTCCGGGAGAGGAGCACGAAGGGCGACCGCCTGGGGGACCTCGGACAGTGGGAAGGGCGCTGGGGACGCAGAAAGCGAGTGGCCCACGCCACATCCTACACTGTGGGAACGGGCCGCCAAAAGGCCACGACACCGGCTACCGTGACACAACTCTTTAATCTGAAGGAGTGGGTGGCTCTGAAAAGAGCCTTTGAGTTCGCGGGCGTCCCCGGGACGCGAGCCGCCAGTGCGGGCAGCGGCCTCACTTGCCCTTCGCCTTATGGTGGCTCTCGGTCTTCTTGGGCAGCAGCACGGCCTGGATGTTGGGCAGGACGCCGCCCTGCGCGATCGTCACTTTGCCCAGCAGCTTGTTGAGCTCCTCGTCGTTGCGGATGGCCAGCTGCAGGTGGCGCGGGATGATGCGCGTCTTCTTGTTGTCGCGGGCCGCGTTGCCCGCCAGCTCCAGGATCTCGGCCGTCAGGTACTCCAGCACGGCCGCCATGTACACGGGCGCGCCCGCACCCACGCGCTCCGCGTAGTTGCCCTTGCGCAGCAGCCGGTGCACGCGCCCCACCGGGAACTGCAGCCCGGCGCGGGACGACCGCGACTTGGCCTTGGCGCGGGCCTTGCCTCCTTGCTTACCGCGGCCAGACATGACTTTACAAAACTAACTTTTGCAGACTTTACTACAAAACTAGGTTTTAGCGTCTTAAGGCCTTTATACGCTTTCCTAGGGGTGGGGTCAGGAGCCAGCTTTTCATTGGTCGTAATTTGGTCGCCGAGAAGTCCAATGAAATCTGAAATTTAGAGTCTTTGTTATGTAGGCTTGTACTGAAATCACAAGCTTCATGTATGAACCAATGGAAGTGAAAAGTATTTTGAGGCCTAATTTACATAAGGTGGTTATAAAGGGCTCAGGTCCTCGGGAGTGCAGCTGTTTTCTCACTTGCTAGGCAACTCTTCTGTGTTTTGCGATCATGCCCGAGTCGGCTAAATCCGCCCCGGCTCCCAAGAAAGGTTCCAAGAAGGCTGTCACCAAGGCGCAAAAGAAAGACGGCAAGAAGCGCAAGCGCAGTCGCAAGGAGAGCTACTCCATCTACGTGTACAAAGTGTTGAAGCAGGTGCACCCCGACACGGGCATTTCGTCCAAGGCCATGGGCATCATGAACTCATTTGTCAATGACATCTTCGAACGCATCGCAGGCGAAGCTTCGCGCCTGGCGCATTACAACAAGCGCTCTACCATCACGTCCCGGGAGATCCAGACGGCCGTGCGCCTGCTGCTGCCGGGCGAGCTGGCTAAACACGCCGTGTCGGAGGGCACCAAGGCGGTCACCAAGTACACCAGCGCCAAGTAGAGGCCCGCCTGGATGAGGCACTCGCTGCCCCTTTGCTCTTGCCGAACCACCCGCTTAAATCAGGAAAGAGCTTTGTCCACTCGCATTAGTTTCTAGTTCCTATTCCAGAGTTAAACTTTAAAGGTCTTGGAGAAGGTACACTTCACAGTTTTAAGCATTTGTAGTTTTGAGGTTCTCTGAGCTGGTTTGCAGTTGGCTGTTGAGCTCCTCACTCTCATTTAGCTCCTAAGAGTTACTTTTAAACTAGGGTAATGGAGGTTGGCCTCTCGGCTGGGTTTCTTCCCTGTTCTAGACTGTTCGGGCACTTTGTCGACCTAAAGTGAGATGACTGACTTGATTACTTTGGCCGTTAGTGGGCTCCAGGACACCTAAACCTGTGGCGACGAATGCTGTGTACCACTCAACAACCGAAATCGCTCGGTTCAGTTTTATTATGTGTCCTGGGTACAGGCGGTTTCCGGTAGTTTAGGGCGGTGTCCTCGCCTGTAACTGATTAATTTACCAACACGATCGTGCGGCGTTGCTGCGGCTTTGGTAGAAGTCTATTGGGGTTCTCATTCAAGCTTTAGATTCCTCCCTGTTCGTGGTTTGTGATTACCCCCTCCTTCACCCCCTAATTTACGGTGTCCTCGCCCTTAACTGATTGGTTTACCAATGCGAACGTTCAGCGTTGCTGCGGCTTTGGTAGAAGTCTGTTGGGGTTCTCCCTCAAGCTTTAGATTCCTGTCCATGGCTTATGATTTTCTTTTTTTTTTTTTTTCTCTCCCCCGTTTAATACTTTGCTGTGCTTTAATCCGCCGCGGTGCCGGGTTGCCGCAAAGATTGCTTATTTCCGCTCTGGACCCATGAAGCGATCTAATTCACCAACCCAAGGAATTAACTTCCTCCTGGTGGTCGCGTCTACACTGTCTGAAGTTTGCTTTCCTGTTTACACTGTGGTCAAGCCGGCCAGATGTTCTGATAAGTCCAGAGCCCGCGAATGCCTGACATATTCCTAATGCTCAAGTATTTATTACTGAATTAATTTTCGTATCATTGCTTTTGTAATTGCTTCCGTGGCTTGGGGGGGGGGCGCGGTGTCTGTTCGACGCAACAGAAGTGTTTGAAGATTCTTTCTCCCAATCCGTCCGTATAATTCATGCGGTGGCTGTTTTTGGTTGTCAACTTGACTGGAAATAACTGAAACGGAAGTGAGAGTACACCTGTGAGGGATTTTTTTTTTTCTGAAATAATTTGAAGTGAGAAGAAGCACTTTTAGTCTGAATCTTTTGAGATGGGAAGACCCACCTTTAATCTGGGCCACACCTTCTGCTGGCAGCCTGTCTAAAGGACTTGAAAGAAGGAAGCTTGCTCTCGCTGACTGGTCTCTTCCTTCACTGGCGTTAGAGCCTACTTCTGGATTCTGGCATACACTGAAGACGAGCCATCCAGCCTGGTGGACCCAACAGCTATTGGATTCATGGGCCTTCTCTTGGGAGGCTGCCACTGTTTGTTGAACTAGATGGACCCCAGCCTGTAAACCATATATTTATGAAAAAAAATCACAAATATATTTCACTCTGTAAGCTCTGTTCCTTGAGAACCCTGATTAATACAATTACCTCAGTGTAATTTGCCAGGAGCTGGCCATAGTAGGTTTCTTAATTTTTTTCCAATTTAGAGCAAACTCTTGGATTTTCATTAAATTGGAAGCACTGGGCTTTGGGGAAAAGCCTTCCTTCTACCTCTGCCAACATCCCCATTCCTAATTTTCCTATTCCCTACTGAGATGAACTTTCAATTTACACTCTTCCCTCTCTTTTACCTTTCAGAGGGTTCTGTAAGATGGGCCCCAGAGTTACTAGTGAAACTGATGGAAGCTAGGTGGTTGGCCTAGGGCCATGCCCAACACCGTCCACTTTCGTCTCTGTCTGAAGTCAGCTGCCTGCTTGCTTTTGTGACGTTTCCCCCCACAGTCTTGATTTTCTTGTTGAGGGCACCCAATGCTCTCCGATCGCTTTCTCCGTCCTGTGTTAGGTTAAGGGTTTCTGGAGCTGACTAAGGAGCTTTGTGAATCCAGAATGTGCTTCAGACATTGGCATAGATTGACTAAGTCCTGCTTACTGCATGAGCATTTTTAAGTGCGCAGAAGCTGTTATTATTAAATCATATTACCAATTAGTTTCAAATTTTTGCTGGATTGTTTTATGTGCACCTCATTTCCTCAGAAAATAAAATGAGCAAATAGAACTGTTTGTGGTTGGCGCTGTGGAAAAGCTGGGGGTGCCTCGGATTTGAAACATATCTCTAAGCCATTATCCAGGGCTTAGGGGGGTAGCTCAGAAGCTTTGCCAAAAATGCACTGAGGCCCTAGTTTCAAAAACACATGCACAGGCACACACACGCCCAGGCACACACACGCACAGACACGTCCATGCTCATGCATGCGTACATACCTTCCTCCAGCCAAACTTCTTCCTCAAGAGGTGCACTGGGGTTGAAATACCCTACAACAAGGCCAGTGCTGATGCCTAGTGGTTGAGAAACATATGACCATGTATAAAAGGTATTACAAACAGGATGTGTGAAATAAAACCCCTGGTAAAGTTTAGCTAACACCTGCAGAATCCATGGATGGGATGTACTAGGGAGTATTCTATGCTCTTTGTATATACCGGCTCATTTTGTCTTCACAGAGAACTTTAAGAAGTTGGTCCCCTTATCATCTCCCATTTTACAGCCATGGAAACAAGACCAGCGCTGCCATTCCTCACAAACTGTCGGAGGCGAAGGCTCCAGGTTAGTTTTATGGGACTTGAGAAAGTTGGACTACTCCCTGAGAATCTGGGCATTTGGGAAAACGCTCTGCATTTGGGAAGAGGGATTGAAATATCCATACTTAATAATCAACTCCTCCATCCCCTTCCGAATGCACCCTGCATCGAAATCCAGAAGGGTGGTGACTGACCTTGGGGATGGAATTGGGAGGCCAGCTTTCCATCCCAGAAACCATAGCTCCAGCCAACTTAGTTGTCCCGGCAGGAGGAAGGGGTTGTGGGGGCATTTGGGGGAAGGGTTTTACCAACTCACATCCTTTCCCCAGCATAAGAGACATCATAGCTTGTTTGGGGCACCCCAAACCCCTGACCCTAGGCTCTTCTGATAGTCTTGTAGCAGACACAGAAGAAGAAGGAAGTGGTAATAGAACCCCGTACTTTAACCCTGAGGGGAAATTAGTACAGCGAGTTTAACCTTGCATTAAACTTCTCCTGTTCATTTGTTTACTTTAGGTTAATAATGATTTTTTTTTTACTATTTATTATGTATACAGTATTCTGTCTGTGTGTACGTCTGCAGGCCAGAAGAGGGCACCAGACTTCATTACAGATGGTTGTGAGCCACCATGTGGTTGCTGGGAATTGAACTCAGGACCTTTGGAAGAGCAGGCAATGCTCTTAACCACTGAGCCATCTCTCCAGCCCAATAATAATTGCTGCAAAAATAATAAATTGTTGCTTCTACGTACTGATCACTTGACTGCTGGCCAGGTCCTCTGCTTAGGGGTTTACACATGTCATGTCACTATTTATTATTATATAATATTATTATTATTATTACTCTTCACAGTCACTGTTTAAGGTACATTTCAGTATTGTTGTGTTTATGTAATAGATAATGGGGAAAGCCTTAGAAAGCTTAACTGGCTTGTCTGGGATCATTGAACAAGTTGTAGAACTACACAACCCAGCACACACCTTTTTGTTATTGTGAGGTCTCACTGTGTAACCCAGGCTGGCACTGATTCTGCAGGGATCCCTCCTTCTCAGACATCCGAGTGCTGGGCTGCAGAAGGGAGCCACCACCCCTGACTTTGACATATTAGAGATCTGTTCACTTTGGTGTACACATCAGTATATTTTCTGACTACAATGTAATTATTAGTCCACTTACCTGTTAATGTACAACGGATTGCCCTAGTCCTTACCCCTCTCTTGTATTTTTTCTCTCCTTTTCCTTCCCCTACTCTTTGAATGTTCTCCAACTTTGGGCCATGATGATTCCATAGAGAAACACAGTAAAAGTTTCCCCCCTTAGTTGAACAGGAGCACAGAGGGAGAGATGAAACACACACAAGCATCCATTCTGTGCAAGTGGGAGCAGGGCTACCTCTGCTCTCCTCTAGGCTCCAGTCTGGTCTACAGAGAGAGTTCCAGGACAATCAGGATTACATAGCCCCTGTCACAAACAAACAAACAAACAAACAAACTCACTCCTGTCTGTTAGATGGCAGACAATTGTCTAGGCAGTGATGATACAAGATTAAACAGAACAGAGTGGCTTCTGGCTCCCTAGACTTTTCGTGCCTAGAAAGAAAGATGTTAAGTCAGTGACGATAATAAATAATGGAAAGTCTTATGATGCAGGAAGTGTGATGCGAAGTCTCCTGCTCACCACTGGAGGGTTGTCCTAGCTACTTTCCTATTGCTCTGGTGGTGGTTTGAATAGGATTGGCCCTCATAGGCTCATATATTTGGATGCTGTTCTTTAGGGAGTAGTACTCCTTGATGGGGATTCGGAGGTGTGGCCTTGTTGGAGGAAGTGTGTCACTGGGAGTGGGCTTTGAAGTTTCAAATGCTCAAGCCAGGCTGCATGCTGCCTGTGAATCTGTATGTAGAACTCTCAGCTACTTCTCCAGCACCATATCTGCCTGTGTGCCACCATGCTCTCCTCCATGGTGATAATGGACTAAGCCTCCTAGTTGTAAGCCAGCCCCAGTCAAATCTTCCCTTTAGCTGGTGTGGCCACGGTGTCTTCACAGCAACAAACAGTGGCTAAGACAGCAGGGAAGAGACACATGGCCAAACAACTTATAAAAGAGAGAGCCTTTAATTGGGAGCTCACAACTTCAGGGAGAGTCCATGACCACTGTGGTGGGAGGCATGGCTGCGGATAGGCAGGCGAGGCTCTGGGGCAGTAGCGGAAAGCTTGCATCCTGGTCCGCATGCAGAGAGAGAGAGAGAGAGAGAGAGAGAGAGAGAGAGAGAGAGAGAGAGAGAGCGAGCGCTACAGAGAGCTAACTAGAAACAGTGAGGGGTTTTGAAATCTCAAAGCCCACCCATGGTGACAAACCTCCACATGCCACGCGCCTTGATCCTTTTCAAACAGTTCCACCAACTAGGAACCAATTGTAGCATGATTAATAAAAACCCAGAAACAGATATTGGGGTTCAACCTGAAGGTCAGAAAAGCAAAACCGCCAGCCACTGGCTCTTAGCTCTCTACATCAGTCTGAAATGGCGATCCTGCCTTCAGGAATCTCAGAATGAGTCTGTGAGTGAGAGCTGTCTCCTCCCGTTTTATATTCCTCTCTAAGGCTAGGATTAAAGGTGTGCACCACTACTGCTCTGTTTATATGGCAAACTAGTGTGGCTACTGGGATTAAAGGCGCCTGTCAGCACTTCCTGGTCTGTAAAGCTGACCAGTGTGGCTGTTTTACTCTCTGATCACCAGGCATGCTATATTAAAGTACAAATGAAATATCACTACAACCAATCATTCAAATATATGAGCCTACGGTGGCCATTTGCCGTTAAAACCACCACAGGGGAAGGCAAGGTAGAGGCTTGTAGGCCAAGGGCAGGGGGTTCAGAAAGAATGCTCCAGGCAGTAGGCAGCATGGGCAAAGGCC